GCGGTTCACTATCCCTGCTGTTGTAATCAATTTATTTGAAAATATAGAAAACACCCAAAATATTTAAATAAATGGTATTCTATTATTGTTTAACAATGCGATTAATTGCATGTTTACTCATGATTAATTTTTATAATCGCTTGACAGTAGTAGTTCTGATTATTTTAACTCTTCTGCTACTTTTCAATGACTCAGCTACCATGGCTTTGCTCGAGATAGCACCACCAGTATGGGACTAGCAAGGGGCCATGATTCTGGGGAAATAAGAAAAATCTGTTTTTCCTCTTTTTTCTCAGTTTTCTCCTCCCTTACACTGTTTGTTTCCATCTCGTTTCTCTACTCACTCAAATTGCTTCCTAGACCTTAAAAGGTACACAGCAGTAATATCCTTGTAGGCGTGCATATGCTCTGATATATCAGCTGCTGCACTGAGGTCAACTAGCTCTGTAGAGCCTCCTGTATCTCACTACCTCAGAAAACTCTATCAGAGATATGCCAAGTACAAGGACTGATATAGAATTACTCTTTATACGCTAGTCAGTCAGAACAGAACTTTCCCTGCAGACTGAAATAGCAAAATACTGGGTCCCCAAAATAGGAAATCTAGTGTGGAGAGTATTTGTGGCATGGGTATGATCAACACATAGTAAGTTTTCCTGAATTAAAGAATATTTTCAGTTATTGCAATTTAAAAAATCAAAATTTATCTACAGTTGTGCTATGCACTGTTATTGTATTTAGTTAAACCATTGCCAGTTTGTTGAATGAAAATGCTATTCTTTCATTTTAAAAGAGTAGTTTATATTTTGCTTTATCTTAAACCTGAAAAAAAAGAAGGGATCAAGCTAAACTGCAATATGCCACTCTTAAACCAAAATTAAAGGGTTTATGCACAAACTTGCACTAGTTTAGCTAAATCAGTTAAAAAACACGCATTTAATTAACCTGGTTCAAGTTTTTGTACGGACAAGGCCTAAATATCACAGATGGCACTGTGACTTTGGCAACCGTTAGTTTTTAAAATCGAAAGGAATGTACTGTGGGGAGGAAAGTAAATGAACCTATAAATTAGAGTCTGCTATGGTCAGAAATCTTTTTGCGTAAAAATATCTACTCATAGACTCACAACCTGCTAGTCAAAGCTGCTCATATATTGCCAAAATACATGTTTTATGACTTTTAAACACTGTTATTTCTGTAGTCATTACAGCTAAGAGAAAAAGATGGATTTTCTTCTGGTTCATGTATCATCAATAGAATTGTGAACCAAGTTTTGATTGCAGAATCTTTATTACTGATGAATATGTGTGCATGTGAGCCACAAAGAGCTCAACCTGACTTTCACATCCCATGTCAAGTCACAGGGAGGGCAGTTTACAAGTAAAAATATAGTTTCAAAGTCCGAAAATCAAATCTAGAGTCAGTAAAATTCATATTAGTTGTGTCTAAACATGCCTTTTCTTTTTGAATTACATTTCACAGTAAGAACTGCACTTACTCCAATTTATCCTCTGCCCATCATATTTTTTCAACGAGATTGAAAAAATTATGGAACATTATAACAGGGATCCGCAACCTTTGACACGTGGCCCATCAGAGTAAGCCCTCTGGCAGGTCAGGCCTGTTTGTTTACCCCTGCTGCATCCGCAGGTTTGGCCAATCGTGGCTCCCACTGGCTGCGGTTCGCCGGTCAAGTCCAATGGGGGCCGCAAAAGAAGTGGCGAACCGTGGCCAGCGGGAGCTGCGATCGGCTGAACTTGCGGATGTGGCAGGTAAACAAACCGGTCCGGCCTGCCAGGGGGCTTACCCTGGTGGTCCGTGTTCCAAAAGTTGCCAATCCCTGTATTATAGTCTTTAAAAACGATTTAATATGGTTTTACAGGATGTTAACAATATCATTTAAAAATCACTTCAAAAGTAGTTTTTCCACTGACACACAAATAGTGCATCTATTTTTATTTCTCATAACAGTGTTACTGCATCTTGAAAATCCATGACACAGGCTCCGGTACCTCAGAATCAACAAAAGTTAGTCTGGGTGCTATGGAGTGAAAGCTGATTTTAAAGCAGTTTCCTAGACAAAATGATGCACTATTTTTTTATGCTGTGTTGATTATGTTGGTAGTTGTAGCGCTATTCTGTGATGAATTGACAATTCTATTTGACTCCTGCTCTGCTTTTTTCTGCTGGGATTATTATGAGATTTAAAACTTTCTCATCAGTATATCGCTTTCCTTTGACTGACAGGCTTTGTTAATTATTTTTCGAAGAAAATTCAAACCAGAAAGACAAAGGACATTACTGAAAACTTAATACCACTTGACCTTGTCACACTAGCCCTCGGCATAAAAAAGATATAAATTACAAAGAAGACACACAAGTAAAAGATATTCACAAAAAAGCAAGCAATAGCTTCCGCTTTCTGCTCCCATTTAATGTTGCAGCAGGAGTAGGACTCTGACAGCTAGAGAGGCTTGCAGTCAGAAAACAGATTTTTAAAAGACTTGAACAGGAGAAAACAGTGTAAAAATGAATTTTAGAATATGCTCACCAAATATTACACAATGTCCCAAATCCTGTTGAATGTCTGCCTTTACCCAGGAAAGTTTTAACAGGTAGGAGGACTGAAGAACTAAAATTTAACTGATGTGCTATAATGTATATTCTTATTTTAAAATAAAGTTCCTGTATTTCTTTCACATTCTTTAAAAATTATACAGTGTTTTACTCACAAAACTTCACCTTTATTGCCCTAAATTTATCCTTCTTTTTTTCCTGAATATTCTGGCAGAGAATACTTAACAACATTGTCTAATACTAGACACTCAAAATAAATATCTGCAACGAAAGGTTACTGAAATTGATAAAATCCAGTCCTATTCAGAAAAATTCTATAGCCAAAGGTATTTTTATGACTGATTAACTCCAATATCATAGTTAATTACCACTAAGGATTTCTGGAAATGTTGTAATTCCCAAAAGACAGTGGTTTGCAATGGAAATACACTGTCAACCATAATTACAGTCGTTAGTGTAGTATAAAAATGCATATAACATGCACATTTAATAGAGAGACTAATATGTATTAATAAGTGAGAGCTCTGAGGGGGCATTTTGATTAGAATTTCTTTAAAAAAACACACTGGGTGTGAAAACATGTTGCAGGATCAGTGTGTTTGCACTGAATTTGATCCTGCTTAGATCGAAGTCAATGGGAGTTTGTTTTGTCATTGACTTCAACAGGCAAGGGATCACAATACCTTGAATGCAACAGAGATCTTTTTTCTATTGCCCAAAGATAATTTGTCTATTTTAAACAGAATCCAATGGCTGGAATTTGAAGCTAGACAAATTCAGACTAGAAATAAGGCATAATTTTTTAATGGTGACAGCAATTAACCATTGGAGCAATTTACCAAGGGTCATGATGTATTCTCCATCACTAACCATTTTTAAATCAAGATTGGATGCTTTTTCTAAAAGATATGCTCTAGGAATTATTTTGGGGACTTCTATGGCCTGTGCTATACAGAAGGTTAGACTAAATCAGGGGTCTCAAACTCAATTTACCTTAGGGCCAGTGCCAGTCCTCAACTCCTCCCAGCAGGCCAATAATGTCTCTGAAGATGGTGTTCACACCACCTCCCAGCCCGTTTCCCACCCTTTTCCCTCGCTCCATTGGCCTCATGCCACCATGGCTGACTCTGCCTGACAACGAGTGATGCTCCTTCCATGGCTGACTCTGCCCAGCGACTAGTGATGGTATCTCTGTCCCTCTCCCCCAGCCAATGGAAGCTGCTGGGGTTGGGGAGCGGAAGAGGGGCGCCGCCTATAGCAGACAGCCGGCAGTGTAGCTGCATGGTTTTCTTTTTTGGTGGTTTGGGTTCTGTAGTTTCCACATCTGAATGTTGCACTTTTAAGACTTGTGAAAGCATGCTCCACACCTTGTCCCTCTCAGATTTTGGAAGGCACTTCAGATTCTTAAACCTTGGATCGAGTGTTGTCACTATCTTTCGAAATCTCACATTGGTACCTTCTTTGCATTTTGTCAAATCTGCAATGAAAGTGTTCTTAAAACAAATAACGTGCTGCGTCATCATCTGAGACTGATATAATGTGAAATATATGGCAGAATGCAGGTAAAACAGCAGGAGACATACAATTCTCTCCCAAGGAGTTTGGTCACAAATTGAATTAACGCATTATTTTTTTAATGAGCATCATCAGCGTGGAAGCATGTGCTCTGGATTGGTGGCGGAAGCATGAAGGGGCATACGAATGTTTAGCATATCTGGCACGTAAAAACCTTGCAATGCTGGCTACAGAAGTTCCATTCAAAGGCCTGTTCTCACTTTCAGGAGACATTACAAATAATAAGCAGGCAGCATTACATCCCATAAATGTAAACAAACTTGTTTGTCTTAGTGATTGTCTGAACAAGAAATAGGACTGATTGGACTTGTGGGCTCTAAAGTTTTTGCATTGTTTGTTTGTTTTTTGAGTGCAGTTATGTAACAAAAAAAATTACATTTGTAAGTTGCACTTTCACGAGAAAGAGATTGCACTATAGTACTTGTCTGAAGTCAATTGAAAAATGGTATTTATTTTGTTAGTTTTAGAGTGCAACTATTTGTAATAAAAATAATAATATAAAGTGAGCGCTGAACGTTTTGTATTCTGTGTTGTAATTGAAATCACTATATTTGAAAATATGGAAAAAAAACATTCAAAATATTTAATAAATTTCACTTGGTATTCTATTGCTTAACAGTGCAATTAAAACTGCAATTAATCCTGATTAATTTTTTTAATTGCAATTAATTTTTTTACTTAATCGCGTGAGTTAACTGCGATTAGTTGACAACCCTAATAGCAAAATTACATATATATATCCCTGACATCGTATTTCAAAACTTATTTCAGCAATACTTGTCCCTATGTCTGTCTCAATGAGAAGTGCTGCTTTTTTATTTACATAACTTTCTCCGTTTTGTTTCTAGTTTGACTCAGCTTGCACCCCTATTTTCATGTATATCTTTGGAAAAGCTTAATATCAGCAACAACTACTTGTCAGGTGAGTATGTAAAATGAATTAAACAATATTTTTTTTAAAAAAATTACCTTAAGGCCTTTTTTAGGAATACAGGCAACCAGCATATTATAAATTTCAGTTGTTTATTAAAATATATGGAATGGGGTCTTAAAATGACAGGAGCTATTCTATTCTATCACCACCTTCATGAGTGTAGTATCTGGGCACCTTCCAGTTGTGTACTAAGTGATGTCGCTAACATCTGTCACATGTGATTTGTTCTGTCTCTCATCCTCTCCCCAGGGGAAGAATTGTGTTTTTGTTTTTTTTAATGTACATGCTGCTATGTGCTTATGTTAAAGAAGGGTTGAAGAATTCAATTCTAATCCATCTTACATTTGGATTAGAAGGTGGTGAAGTTTGTGAGTTCATTCTGCCATCTCAGATGGGCCCCCTGAGACAGCTTTTTCTTCCACACAGAAGAGCATTATCCTTATGATAGGAAGATTAATTATTCTTCAGGAGCATTTGTTGGTCAGACTTCATCCCAAAGCTTCTGGTGATCTTTGAGATATGCTAGGCCTAGGCTGCTGAACACTTCAAAGATAAGGACCTTGAACTTGGTTAATTATTCTATGGGAAGCCAGTGTATGCAGCAGAGGACATGTTTGACATGCACACAGTAGTCTGTGTTGCTAAGGAGATGCTTGGTGGTGTGCTGTACTACTTGAAGTTATCCAAGGTCTGATGGCTTGCACTGCTGTAGTCCAGATGAGAGGTGAGGAAGGTTTATGTAACTGAGGCAACCAGCATGTAATGGAGTCTCCTAACCAACTAGAGTTGTTAGAAGTTGTTTTATTCGTGGATGCTGCTATGTGAGAATTTAGAATCAGAGTGAGGAATCTGGGAGTACTGCTCACCTACATACTGACTTCACCAACTGAGGGTGTGTACCTTTAATCAAAGGAGATTGCACTGTGGCTGCAGACTCCTCAAACTGCTTTCCTCTTTCCATCAGCATAATCTCTGTCAAGTTCTTTTTCAACCAGCTGATCTTCATCCGTGAGATGATCTCATCCAAGCACTGGGGCATCTTAGTGGTATGTCATATACAGTGGAGATGCATCATACACGCATTTAACTTACACGGATTCAACTATACACGCTCAGCAAAAAAAAAAAAAGAAAATAACAATAACTCGCTGCGGTGGAGTACTATACAGGAGTTGACGGGAGAGCGCTTGGGGGTCAATTTATCGCGTTTAGACTAGACGCGATAAATCAACCCCCGCTGGATCGATCACTGCCCGCCGATCCGGTGAGCATTTCGCCGCGCTGAGTGTGATTCTACTGTTTAAAGATCTGTATTTTTTGTACAACATGGCCCCTAAACGCAAGCCAACTACTTCATCTGGTGCTCAACCGAAGAAACAGCAAGCTGTTCCAACGCTGAAGGAAAAACTGGCTGTATTGGCCTTATAGAGAGACGGTATGTTGGTCTCCAGTGTGGCGCGTAAATATGGCTGCAACTAATCTAGCATCCGTGTCATCAAGATTCGAGAGAGAGAAATTCGTCAAGCCGTGGCATCAAGTGCTCCAATAACTGCTAAGGTGATGAGCCAGGTGCATGATAAGACTTTAGTGAAGACTGAAAAGGCATTAAACTTATGGCTGGAAGACATGAACCGGAAACACATGGCTATTGATGGCAACACGTTGCAAGAAAAAGCTCTTAGCCTGTATGCACTGTTCAAACCTCCTGCCGAAGAGGGACAGCCTTCTGATGAGAAGGAATTCAAAGCCAGCCAACGTTGGCTTAACAGTTTTAGGAACTGCTTCAATCTCAAAAAGGTGCAGACTACTGGTGAAGCTGCATCTGCCAATGAAGAGGCAGCAAAAAACCTCCCCCCGAACAATTAAAGGAAATCATAGAAGAAAAGGGCTATCTTCCGGAACAAGTTTTTAATGCTGACAAGACTGGGCTCTTCTGGAAAAAAAAAATGCCCAACTGCACTTACACTTCAAAAACAGAAAGACAAGCCCCTGGCTTCAAAGCAGCTAAAGACTGTGTTGTTTTGTGGCAATGCAGCTGAGCATTTAATAAAGCCGGGCTTGCTCTACAAAGCTGCAAATCTCTGTGCCCTAAAAGGCAAGAACAAAAATCTCCTGCCCGTGTTCTGGCAATCAAATTAAAAGGCTTGGGTGATGGCAGCATTATTTCTGGATTGGTTCCACAAGTGTTTCATTCCGGAGGTCAAGTGGTACCTTGAAGAGAAAGGACTTGACTTTAAAGCGTTGCTGATCATAGACAATGCTCCTTGCCATCCTGAGGCACTCCGGTTTCCGCATAATGACGTTGAAGTCGTCTTTCTCCCATTTTTATTCTTTCATTTTTCTGTCTCTCTTTTTGACTATACGTGATTTTCGCCTTACGCACTGACTTTAGAACCTAATCCCCATGTAAGATACGACTCCACTGTATGGTGAAAAATAGGTAAAGCTCTGTGCCATCTGCATACTGCTGGCTAAAGAACAAAAAACCTAGACATGAATTACTGCTATATTTGAAACAATGAAGAATATGTTGTAGCTTCTATTCCACAGACTCAAGCTGGAATTGTATACCATCAGCTCTGTTTGTAGTAGTTAGTGTTATTTGTGCATTTCCAGCTGTAATGCAAAGGATCATAATTTAATGTCAGAGTGCTCTTTAGATGAAGGAAATCCGTAAAGAAGGAATATATCCTCATTCTGTGTTTTGGGATGCCTTGTTGTCCTCACCTGTTTTTCAAAATGTAATAGCATAATGTTTTATCAAATACCTATTTATCTAGATATTTCAGGTATTTCCAAACATATTCAGGCAAATAGGGTGACTACTTTACAAGACAACAGAAATATTTGTATACTTTTGCTCAATTTTATGATTTCTGTTAAATTTAATTTTATTTGAATATACTCTATACTAGAGCTGGTTGAAATTGGAGAAAACTTTTTCACAAAAAATTTGGACAATTGTCATTTTGTTTCTAACAGAATCCACAGTAACTGAGAGTTTGTTAATGATACTACTTTACTATAATTCTTTGCTTTTTACACATGGTTTCACCTTAATCATTCAATGTTATATATACTTTTTCTTCCATAATGTAATATAGACCTTGAGAGTGTCATCACATGGTTTAGTGGATGTCACAAACTAACTGAGTTGTCACTCAGTGGAAATCCAGTTCTCCAAGAAAAAAGTTGGAGGTAAGATAAACAATTAATTAACCCTTACAATATATCCATTGCTCAACAAAATATAAATCAACCAAAGTTCACACATAACCAGATGGTAAATAAATCTTAATATTTCAGTTTAGCTAAATAGTAATTTTATAAAAATCTGGAGGTTGCAATGAATACACTATACATTTTATTATTCAGAATATTATATCTGATCATTTTTGAAATCTAAATATTATAAATACCTCCCCCCAACAAATGGCCAAAATTATCCCTCAGCTCTCCTGCACACGCTGCATTTAGGCTTGTGGCAACATCTGCATCTAGGCTTGTTGCAACATCTGCAAATGTTGATATTTTTATAGGTGATCTGATTATTTTTTTTGGTGTAAATGCTGGTCATTTTTTAAAGTTAGATATTGTTGTGAAATAATATCCAGAGAGTCATCATCCTTGTAGGGATTCTAATTTTAGGAAAAGACTAAGGCCTAAGCTTCTATGATCAGAGAAAACTTGTAGTGGTAAATATTAATCTTTGTTACATCCAGGAAATATAGAGAGAGACTGTCATAAATATAAAGGGAAGGGTAAACCCCTTTGAAATCCCTCCTGGCCAGGGGAAAGCTCCTCTCACCTGTAAAGGGTTAAGAAGCTAAAGGTAATCTCGCTGGCACCTGACCAAAATGACCAATGAGGAGACAAGATACTTTCAAAAGCTGGGAGGAGGGAGAGAAACAAAGGGTCTGTGTGTCTGTCTATATTCTGTCTTTGCCGGGGATAGACCAGGAATGGAGTCTTAGAACTTTTAGTAAGTAATCTAGCTAGGTACGTGTTAGATTATGATTTCTTTAAATGGCTGAGAAAAGAACTGTGCTGAATAGAATAACTATTTCTGTCTGTGTATCTTTTTTGTAACTTAAGGTTTTGCCTAGAGGGGTTCTCTGTGTTTTGAATCTAATTACCCCGTAAGGTATCTACCATCCTGATTTTACAGGGGGGATTTCTTTATTTCTATTTACTTCTATTTTTATTAAAAGTCTTCTTGTAAGAAAACTGAATGCTTTTTCATTGTTCTCAGATCCAAGGGTTTGGGTCTGTGGTCACCTATGCAAATTGGTGAGGCTTTTTATCCAACATTTCCCAGGAAAGGGGGGGTGCAAGTGTTGGGAGGATTGTTCATTGTTCTTAAGATCCAAGGGTCTGGGTCTGTAGTCACCTAGGCAAATTGGTGAGGCTTTTTACCAAACCTTGTCCAGGAAGTGGGGTGCAAGGTTTTGGGAAGTATTTTGGGGGGAAAGACGTGTCCAAACAGCTCTTCCCCAGTTACCAGTATTAGTTTGGTGGTAGTAGCGGCCAATCGAAGGACGATGGGTGGAATATTTTGTACCTTGGGGAAGTTTTGACCTAAGCTGGTAAAGATAAGCTTAGGAGGTTTTTCATGCAGGTCCCCACATCTGTACCCTAGAGTTCAGAGTGGGGGAGGAACCTTGACAGAGACTGACGTGAAAGTAGCTGGCAGTGAGATTAGTTATGAAGAGCTGTGCAGGGCTTGCCAGCTGTGGGAGATATTCATTTCCCCTTTTTGTATAGAGGGATGCATTTTGCATCACTCACTAACCTCAGATTTGGGGCTGTCTTCCAGTTTCCAACTATAATGGTTAATATTCTGGGCAGCCTGCCTGTGGGTAGGTGTACATTGCAAAACAAACGCTTTGTTCTTAACTCAGGTTAGCTAACTCGGGTTAAAATATCAGTGAAGACACAGCACAAAGTTTTTAATTTGGGTTAGCAGCTTGAATTCAACCAGCTTTAACCCAAGTTGCTAACCCAAGTTGACATGTCTTTGATGCTATTTTAACTTGAGTTAGCTAATGTGGGTGAGCTAATTTGAGTGAAGAACACACTTTTTTTGCAATGTAGACCATACCCACTGTTGCGGAGAGCATGCCTACTGCAGGCCTCAATAATGATAAAAGTATGACTCAATAAAACCCTAGAAAATACTGCCAGATGTCAGTGGCTAGTCAGGTGGCAAGCTGAGACTACCTTCTACTTTGCAAACAGTTCTGCTGTTATCATTCCATCATCCTGTTTACCTTCTTCATCTATGTGTTGTTTCTGGTTGTGAGCTTAGCTTTTGAGCTCTCTAGGACAGGGACTGCCTTCCTGTTCCATGATTGTATGGCACTTAGCACAATGGGGCTATCATCCTGGCTGGGGCCCAGAGCCTGACTGACATGCCTGGACAACCAACCCCACACCTATAGTAGCATGCACATAGCTAAGACATTCAGACATGCACCCAGGCCACACAAGTACTGTGTTTTGGGGAAGGTAAGGGAGTTGACTTCAAGTAGCAAAAAAAGGCTCAGCCCCTTCGCTTCCCTTGAGAATAGGAAAAAACAAAACGCTCTGCTTTGCTCCTCAGCAAGAGGGAGTGCAGCTGATCGGAAGTACCCAGCTTTATGGGGAGCTACCCACCAAAATTACTGCTATCAGTAACAGAAAGAAAGAGAAGCCAGTTCCCTAATCTAAATAATCGCTACCCACAAACTGGAACGAGCAGATAGAGAGAAAAGTCAGCATGGCTTAGTCTGTCGAGAGGGAACTCCCAGATTACACTGTCCAGTGGAAGACTGACTGTCAGCATTAGTCACTAGGCTTCTTGTGCACCAGGAGCTGCTTCCCTGCCAGCCTAGCTTATAATGAGACTTCACAACTATGAGTACTGTGGTGCTGCATGTAGGTGGTTAGGAAAGAGGAGAGTTCTGTGTGTGCACAGAAAGGTGGAGGTGCACAGAAATGAAGGAGCATGTCAGTACCATCATGTACCAAAATGACGGGCAGGCCAGAAACATTCATAGGATTATCTGTAAATTTACTTTGCTTCAGTAAGCCTTATAGAGCTTCAACACCAGGAATATGCCAGCCACTCTAAAATTATTTAAAAATCTCAACTTGTGCTTGTCAAGTTACAAATGAACACTTACATTTACTATGGTGCATGTGAAAGGCAGTATTGTGGTGATTTGGGAGAGGTTTTTGGAGGGAAGATTTGTTTCCCTGACACTTAGTATGGGTGTAAGGTGCTGGGTTAAAGTTAGATCCTGACCGATCCTGTCAGTTTTTGGACTCAAGCACCTTGTCCTCCCTTTCCTTCTCTTCCAACTCTGAATTCCACTGCTTAAAAGGAAAACAGTTTTCACCATCACAGTTAAATTTGGTACGGGGGGGAACCCAGGCTTATCCCAATACAAAAATGTGGGCCTGGCTGCTGGATTCTGCAGTCCTTTTGTGTTCAGGGATTTATAACTTGGATGGGGGTGACAGGGAATGAGTGTGGATAAAAAGAATTGGAAAAAGTTAATGATTTCATTGTTGGTTTTTATGGAGGCATTCTGTTTCCTTCTGACTTCTTTCCCTCACAATGAAGGATTCTGAAGAGTCATTGAAGATATAAGTGAGCAAGTAGCTGTCTCTCTTCACTTGTAAAATTGTTGACACAAAACATGCTTTCCTCACCCACAACTCTTTGGCCTTAGATACACTCCTGCAAACAACCAAGTATGACACTTCTAAATGAATGAAGTAGGAACAGGACAGATATACAATGAAAGAGAACTGTGATGTGTGTGTATATATATATATATATATATATATATATATATATATACACACTCTTTACAATAGCACTTAAGGGGGAAAACTGCAAAAATGGGCTGAATTCTGCACTGTTTATTTGAGGAAAAATCCTATTGATATCAACGGAAACTTTGCACAAACAAGGACCCCAAAATTTAGCCCAACATTTCTGAGTTTTTAGTAAAATGCTGTATATTTTCATAAGTTTGCCAAAGTGTGGCAGTGGTTACTTCAAGCTTATTCTCCATTCTAATTAGCATTCTTTCCCAACTCCAAATAAAATTAAAGAACATGTCTTAAAATGTTTTATAGCTTTATAAAGTTAAATATACAAATTAAGATGTTTTAGTAGAGTACTTACTGCTTCATAAAAAGAGTGAGCATTGACCTGTTCTGGCACACACGTTTGTCACTCAGATATTTCACAGCATACCTACCATTTCATCTCTGTTCTCTTTCTGAAATGGTGTACCAATTTAAATTGGCAGGTTTACTAGGTTCCATCTCTTGGAGTTACTGAAATCCCTGTTATAATATCAATAGAACACTTTTATGATATTTCCAGTGAGTAATTGCTGTGAAATGCTTCTTAAAAAGTAGTTTTCATTTGTGTAAATATTGAGAAACTAATAGATGATTAAGGACTTTTGTATGCAATGGTATGTAGGACTAGTTCTTCAGTTGTGGCTGAGATGTACACAGTATAACAGGTCGGGGGAGAGAAGCAGGCAAGGTATTAAACCTCAGGCTTCAGATTGAGCCAGTCTCAGGTGTAGAGCAGAGCAGCTTCAGGGACACTAAGGGCCATCCCAGCAGCTGAGGAATACAGGCAACCAACTGTGCACATTTTCCCTGGCCAGATCCCGTGGTCTGGGAGGGTTGTTGGGAAGCCTCTATTACAACTCTGTACTACCCCAGGATTCTTCTATAGTTGGGAAATCTTTAAGGGGCTGGTTCTGCCATCTTTCTGGATGCTTTGTGGGATATGAAGCAGCCAGAGTGGGCAGCAGGATCTGGCCCTATAATGTGGGGTGATGTTTGCTCTCACTATATGCTTGATGCCTTTAATGGACTTCCAGTTTTTTGCCAAGGAGTTGTATCTCACTCCTTCATTTGGGATTTGAAAACTGGCTGAAAACCCATTCCATAAATAAGCTGCATTTTTTTTCTTGGATTGGTCCAATAATATTCCATAAATCCTGTATTTTAATTTGGAGAAGGAGCCTTCTCATGGTTACTTCCTCCCCCTGTAGCATCTCCTGAAGCAGTGAGTCCTGTTGACCCCCTTTCCTACCACCTTTTATCCCCATAACAAGGGAGGGAACTGTGCTGACCCCCAGATCACCTATAGTGAAGTTTGTACTTGCATTGGGAGCAAAAACATTTTCCATAGTTAAATGTAAAGCACATCTTCATTTTAAATCAATATTTTAAAAACAAATGTCTATGAATGCCAGCTGGGTGGGGTGATAAGGAATCATGCACTGCAGCCAAAGTTCCTGGTCTGTTGTAACCCAGGGTAATTGTCTCCTTTGCCATCCTCTGTCTAAATTCTCTGTCATGCTTTTTAACTGTGTTACCCCACCATAATATAGCATAAGCCCTTGCCATTAAGTCCTCGTACTTGAACAAGGAAATACGACTCTCTCACAAATTATGCTCGCATAACTGCAAAAGATCGTTCTTAAAATTTTGAAGCACCTTAGGTCTGCGGGATTTGTTCTCATCTTTTTTTTTGTTCTTTTTGCCCCCTTTCTCCGTCAGTTGTTCCCTAAAGAGCCAGGTAAATAAATCCACAAACTCCCCCTTCCAAATCTTTTCCTTAACCTTTTTAGACAGATGGTTCCTGAGCAGCCAGTCTGATCCTGCATAAGATCCAGAGTTCTTTCACGTAACTTTCTGGCCTGGTAGCTTCAAGAGGAAGATGGCAGGCCTGGAATCCAACTTTTGTCTTGTACATGATAGGGCAGAATAAACTATTGGATCAATAAGCTGTCCCTATTACTGAACTTTTTAAGTGAGCCATTTAGTTGATTCAGAGAAGCTTTAGATTGACCAGAGCAATCTAAACTGTTCTTTCCAAATAAGGGCATGTAGTATTTACTTGGGAAAGTATTACTTATATAGAATAGCTCTAAGGATAGAAAAGAGATATTAAGCCCATTAAAAATGTCAGTATTCTGGGTTGAGATAACAAGGGAACTTTCAGATAAGATATGAGTAATGTAGTTGATTATGATTTTGACTAGGAACACTTTAAAAAAAAATTAAAAGAGCTTAGCAATTGGATCCTGGCCTCGCTTGTGTTGCTTATCAAAAGTGATATCACAAGGCGGTGGAATATATAGCCGTGTTTGAGGTTTTTTTTTTGATTATTTAAAAAAATATTACTGTCATTGATAAGCCCTCTTGGAACCATAGATTGAAATATTTCTTAACTTCTTTTTTTCTTTGTTTTCCTAGTCTCTGGGACCAATCTTTCCAAGCCACAGAAATATGCTGCTAGTAATGTTCTTGTGATTTCCTACTTTTGCTGCCCACGAGCCATAGTCCCTCAAGTGCAGTACCATGTAACTGTGTATAGTAACCTTCAGTATGATCATTTCAGTGTCTGAGTCAACATTTACTTTGACATTCATTGACATTCATTTCTGTAATCATTTTTTTTAAAACTTTTCTCTCAGTTCCTTGCATCACTTCAAGCCAATTAAATACAAAACATTTATGCTCCAGTATTACCACAAGCTTCCCTAATGCAGTGACTTGCCAATTTTTACTTTATTGGTGTGATAAATTCGGGGGGGGGGGGTTGGTTTTTTGTTTTTTGCATGTGGTATATAAAGAGAGAAAAATATATACGTATATTTTCTGCAGTAGGAGATCTTTTAGCAAACTTCATATTAGTATTCAAGTGGAAAAATGTGTGCACATTTTTTGGAATTTGAAGCTTTCAAACAGTAGCAGAAGTAGCTGTAAATATGTGTTTATATTTAATGCATACAGGTATTTAATGAAAGAATGTTAATGAATGCAAGTACTATTAAATATTACTCTTCAGCATGTGACATTTTAGTAAAGCTCACATTTACGTTTATACTGTTTTTAATTTCTGATGTCTCATAGAACTAATTTCTTCCTCAGACATTACTCAGGAAAACGAAATTACTTCTGAATTCCTATTAGCTTTAAGAACTGATACATCAGGTTCCTCTCTTAGATCATTTGATGCAATAGAGCCTTTATGATTGGACAAGAGATTCATTTATCTCAAGGATTTAAAGGATGGGACAGTATAAAATATGGATTTGTTGAATACAGCATTAACTATAACTTCAGGCAATATGTTCCAATGAACTTTACATAACCCCTTGATACCAACAAAGGAATTAGTTGTAAAATTTTCCAATCGGTTTCCTACTTTCATGTCCAGCCAGCGATAACACCGACAAAACTGAAGTACTAAGAAATTGCTTTTTAAAAATTAAACCCTAGGATCAGTCTGAGCGCTCCTAGGGGAGTGTGTTTCACTGCAGCAATGATTAATAGAGCCTCTTAAGTGACAGAATATTCACCAGGAAGTTTTCACTAAATGAAATATTGACTTAGCCCTTCACCAGGAGAAACCCAGCTGGAAAAACCAGTGTTGAGATCCCATAGCTCTAAGATACACTACTTCCAGCATTAATCAACTTGATATGGCACTTTTTAAATGTATCATTATTCAACATTGGCTCTTCACTACAAGCTCAAGGCCAGTGTATCTAAAATGATCCTTTTATTTCAAGTATATTTTAGACAGTATTACATTTGCCATAACAAGCAGGGAGTGCAGGGTAATCTTTATATCTGCGTCAAATAGCACTGCTGTTGTAAAGACTTTTGCCAATCTATGTTTTGGATAATGTAACTCAGCCATAGAAATTTGCTCGGATTTGAAACTTGGCATATATGATCTCAGCTAAGTAACATTCTTTTCTTTAAATATGGGGGCAGTCAAGGAATGCTCTGGTTCTGAAGGATTATGTAATATAGTTTTAACTGATGGCAAGGGTGCCTATAATGCAGAATAGACTTTCTTTAATGTGTGGTGTTTAAATCTAAATAAAGGAAAAGTTAATTCAGACTTATTTAAAACTATTTGTGTTAAGATATAATACTTTACCAATTTAAGATTTTTTTTTGCAGTTTGATGAATTGAAAATAAGGAATATCAGACATAATACATATTGTATTGTCCTAAACAAATATTTAAAATACCATGAGGTTTAATTGGTCAATAAGACACACATAAAAAGTGTTTTTAACATCTGTGTGCCAGATTATCCCTTACATGTGAAAGGACTGCCTAGGAAATTCATTAGCCCTCCCCACTCTGCTTTCACTGGTACAACCTCCTTTCTTCTAGGATGGACTTTGTGCTATGAGGGGCATTGTTAATCCCATAGTCTGTTAAATCAGATGTTACACATTTCTGAATATTTTTTAAAATACATCTTTTAGAAAGGTAAAAAATGAATTCCAATAGCTATCTAAGGTGTTTTTTTTTTTTAAAGGGGGTGAATTAACCCAGTCCTGTTTTGTTTGAAGTCAGTGGGAGTTCCATTTAGGTATATACAGAATCAGGGACCTATCCCAGTGACTAGGATTGGAGCAGGAGCCATCCCTTAATTCTCATAAAAATGTGTGACTAACAACAGCACTAGAATTTGCTATAGTGCAAGCAAGTTCCATGCTATTTTCTTCTCATTCGTGACTTGCAACACCCCTGCTGTTCCACATGGATTTTCATGAGATTGCTAGTCAGGCTGAATTGTCTTGTTTTTGCTGTGTGTATAAATGGAGAGTGAGCTGATATTGCAATGTCATTTTCATTGACAGTCTATGCAATGTCTCCAAATGTGTCAGGTCAGCCAGTGCTGCTTTATTTTTAATTTTATGTTATTCCATCATGATATAGTTTTCTGTATTGCCTGGTAATCAGTTGCCAATGTTTCAAAACAAAACACAAAAATATTTCAGGTACTCATGGAGTTATTAATGGTAATGGATTACATCCGGGCCCTTTTGAATCAGAGATTTTTGTCACTGATTTCAGTGTGGCCAGGATTTCACCCAGCATCTATATACCTACAAAGTATTGAGAATTGCTGCAAAGAACTGATTTTTCATGTTAATTTTGTGGTTTCCATAAGAGTAAATTTTGCTAGTAATAAACCGTAAATAAATATCAAATAAGGTATAGTAATTTTATGTAAACATTTTCATGTATACCAAAATGTTTAGTAAAATAACATACTTAAAGGTCAATCTCTTTATGTAGTTGTGATGGGGATTTCTAGACTTTGGATTCTAAAATGTAAGTTTTTCCATAATGCTAATAATGAATTGTTCTCTCCTCTTTTAAAAGGTGTTCCCTACTTAAAATACTTCCTAGTTTGCAATTTCTTAATGGTGAAAACCTAAATTCTCCTGCAAAGCTCTCAACTGAAAGAATCAAAGCGTCAAAACCAGGAAGCTTTTTGAAATTTTGTCAAGCCCAGATTGAAGAAATTGACTTAATAAAAAAGAAGACCACTGAACAAGGGTAGATATCCGAAATCTTCTTTATGCAAATATAATTATTTTCGAAAGCATGCTTTTGGAAATGTTATGTCTTTAGTATACTTCCTCATTGTTTTCCTGTATTTTACTTAATTTTTTGTCTGGGAATATAAATTTATGTTAAGAATGAGAGTATATATCAGTAATTTAAACATAAAGAACATTGCAATGATGTTATAATTATCCTCAAAATAAGCTTACAAAGCCTGGTCAGAGTTAAAGTTAAACTTAAGAGATCCAAACATGTCAAGGCCTTCAAACAAGTTTGAGTCTATCCTCTAAGGGCTGATTCAGTCAATACATTTTAGTATTTGTGGCCCAAGACTAGATTAAAGTGATTTTTGTTAAAGGCACATTGAGATTTTTTCCCATATTAGTTTTTCTTGGGTGTGTTGATAATACTCCAAGTGATTGGAGGTACATAGGTAAAGCTCTAAGTTTTTATAAGGGAAGACTGTGGTCTTCAAAGTCTCTCATACCTCCAGACTTGATACTGTGGTAAAATTTTGAGCAGCTGTCCTGTGGTAAATTTTTCTTAAATAAATTTATGAGATTGAGATTTTCTTGCAAGGAGATAATGTAGAAGTATGGAGAAAATATCTTCCCTAGAATAACTTTAGAAAAGATAACATAAAGCAGGTAATAATGAGGCAGGTAACATTATTTAACAAATTAATTGGTCTTGGGCCAACCAAAAGTTTCCTGTTCGATCATTATTAATTTAGTTCTGATACATATTCCAAGAAACGGATATATCAATGCAAATAATTAATTTGTCTAGCACTGAAATGTCAAGTCCTTTTAGAAACCAAGACGCTGGTCACTCTGTGTGAGTGTGTGTGTGTGTGTATGCTTGCATGTTTATTTCAAGGAATCCCTGTTGAGGTTACAGGGACAAACCATCCCGATGTGTCGAAAGAATAGTAAATATGGCAGGCGACCAGCTTGGCTTAACGGTGAAATCCTAGCGGATCTTAAGCATAAAAAAGAAGCTTACAAGAAGTGGAAGGTTGGACGTATGACCAGGGAAGAGTATAAAAATATTGCTCGGGCATGTAGGAATGAAATTAGGAGGGCCAAATCGCACCTGGAGCTGCAGCTAGCGAGAGATGTTAAGAGTAACAAGAAGGGTTTCTTCAGGTATGTTGGCAACAAGAAGAAAGCCAAGGAAAGTGTGGGCTCCTTAATGAATGAGGGAGGCAACCTAGTGACGGAGGATGTGGAAAAAGCTAATGTACTCAATGATTTTTTTGCCTCTGTCTTCACGAACAAGGTCAGCTCCCAGACTGCTGTGCTGGGCATCACAACATGGGGAATAGATGGCCAGCCCTCTGTGGAGAAAGAGGTGGTTAGGGACTATTTAGAAAAACTGGACGTGCACAAGTCCATGGGGCCGGACGAGTTGCATCCGAGAGTGCTAAAGGAACTGGCGGCTGTGATTGCAGTGGGGGAGGTTCAGGTTGGATATTAGAAAAAAAACTTTTTCACTAGGAGGGTGGTGAAACACTGGAATGCGTTGCCTAGGGAGGTGGTGGAATCTCCTTCCTTAACGTTTTTAAGGTCAGGCTTGACAAAGCCCTGGCTGGGATGATTTAATTGGGTATGGGTCCTGCTTTTGAGCTGGGGGTTGGACTAGATGACCTCCTGAGGTCCCTTCCAACCCTGATATTCTATGATTCTATGTAAGTGTATGCATAAATAAAATGTACAGTATTTGTTAACAGGCATTCTTCTACTACATATGTTGCATAAACAGCTTTTTTCAAATTTGTTACAAGTTTATTTTTGCACAGGTTTTTTTATGTTTGCTTTATTTTGATAAGGGATCTTATTGGGGCTTTTGTGTGCTGATTAGTCTCTGGAATCACTCAGTGTTTTCATTCTTGGGCAACATCTACATTTCCAGGATGAGAGCTTCATGCATTGTCTGTAGTGATTGTCCTATTCTTACTAGGGGTTACAGATTTTGTTAACATAAAATATTTGTGATATGAATTCTGAACGGCATATTATTACAATAAGGCGTCTTAAAATATCCCATATAAAATACCTATTTGTTTTTTAGCTCTTTATCGGAAACATACTTTTGTGTATATTTCATAAAATTATACCAAAATCCACGATCTGTGTTTCTCATTCCATTCATGAGTTCTTTGGTATCTTGCATAGGGATAGAGGCTTCAGTTCAGGAAAGTACTCAAGCCTGTGCTTAACTGTAAGTGGGTGAATATTTCCACTAAAGTTAATGGGACTACACATATGCTTGAAGTTAAGTGCTTGCTTAAGTCCTTTGCTGAAACAGGCCCAGATAAATCAGGAAATTGTAAATCTTTCCAAGCCTTTCTGTGACATATTAGCAGAAAGGCTTGGAAATGTTCTGGGTCTTTTTGCAGAAATATTCTCACTTCTTCTTCAAGTGCTTGCTCATGTTGATTCCAGTTAGGTATGTGTGCACTGCATGCACAGTAAGCAGAAGGTTTTTCCCCTAGCAGTAGTCATGAGGTAAACTCAAGGGCCCGCTAGAGTCATGCTTCTATGACACTGTATATAGGGCCCTGCCGACCCACCCCCACTTCAGTTCCTTCTTACCGTCTGTGACAGTTAGCCGGAATACTTGTTCTCTCTTGCTTTGGCAAGCTTTCTCCCTAGTAGTCTTCAGACTGTTTTTTCTGTAAATAGTTAGACCAGTAGTTAGTAGTTGTAGTTTAGTCATTATATAGTTAGAATTCCAGTAGGGAATTGTTCTGGGGGTACCTCCCATTCCACTCGTCCACAAGATGCTACTCAAGGTTCAGAGGGATGAAGCCTCTGTAATATTGACAGGTTTCAGAGTAGCAGCCGTGTTCGTCTGTATTCGCAAAAAGGAAAGGAGTACTTGTGGCACCTTGGAGACTAACCAATTTATTTGAGCATAAGCTTTCGTGAGCTACAGATCACTTCATGATAGCTCCATGTCAGCACCTCTCTTCTGGAACTGTCAGTGGAAACTCCAGTCACTCTACCGTTTCTCCTGGACCTGATAACACAGGACCGCTGCCGTCTTCAGCACCCCAACGTTGAATCTCTCCACTTCATGGCTTGGAAGCTCCAGGGCTAAACCCAATGGAGCTTTCTTGCTCTGATCCATTTAGGGAAGTCCTCCTTGGCTGTAAGAAACCATCTACTAAGGCCACTTACAACCCGAATGGAAGAAATTCACAATTTGGTCATCACAGAAACACACATCTTGTGCGCACTCAACAATACCTTTTATCTTGAACTTCTGCACTTGAAGCAGCAAGGGCTTTCTATTTCATCAGTAAAAGTCCACTTGGCTGACATTTCCGTCTTTTATCCAGATGTGGCAAGCCAGTCGGTCTTCACAAACCCAATAGTTGAATGCTTCCGTAAAGGACTTGAGAGGCTATACCCTCAAGTATGATAACCCATCCTTGCCTGGGACCTTAACCTGGTTCTTTCCAGAGTATTGGGGCCCCTCTTTGAGCCACTAGTGACATGTTATTTCTACCAGAAATGTTCCCTTTCATGAGAGACAAAGCAAAAAACATTTGCCAGGAGTGTATCCAAGATTAAGGTCCTAACATCTGAACCTCCTTACACAGTCTTCTATAAGGACAAGATTCAGCTTCAGCGTGCACCCGGCCTTCCTACCAAAGGTCGTCTCCCAGTTTCACGTTAATCAGGACATTTTTCTTACAATCTTTTACCCCAAGCCACATGCAAACAGCCGGGAACAAAGACTTCACTCTTTGGATGTTCGCCAGGTGTCAGCCTTCTATATTGAACAGACAAAGCTGTTTCGAAAATCTACTCAGCTGTTTATCACAGTAGCAGACAGAATGAAGGGGCTCCCGGTCTCTTCTCAAATAATTTCTTCACGGATTACCTCAATTATCAGGATGTGCTACGATCTGGCGAAAGTACCTGCCCCATGCTTACAGCACGCTTCATGAGGGCGCAGGCATCTTCAGTGGCATTCCTGGCCCAGGTCCCAACCCAGGAAATTTTCAGGGCTGTGATGTGGTTTCCCGTGCATTACGCCATTACTCAGCAGGCTAGGGACAATGCAGCCTTCAGCAGAGCGGTGCTTCAATCAGTGAACCCATGAGCTCTGACCTTGCCTCTGAGTTCCTGCTTGGGAGTCACCTAATTGGAATCGACATGAGCAAGCACTCGAAGAAGAAAAAATGGTTACCTACCTTTCGTAACTGTTGAGATGTGTTGATGTGAGATGTGTTGCTCATGTCCTTTCCAAGACCCACTGTCGGAACCTCTACCCCTCTGTCGGAACAAGTCCGACAAGAAAGAACTGAAGTGGTGGCGGATCGGCAGGGCCCTATATATGCCGCCATGGAGGTGTGATGCCAGGGGGTGCCTGAGCTGACTTGACGGGTACTGCTAGCGGAAAAACCTTCCGGCTACTGTGCATGCAGCGTGCACACACCTAATTGGAATGGACATGAGCAACACATCTTGAAGAACAACAGTTACAAAAGGTAGGTAACTGTTTTTTCTATATGTGATAGTCAATATATCCTAAATGGAGTATCTATCCCAGGGGCTGGCAAACTTTTTGGCCTGAGGGCCACATTGGATTTCCGAAATTGTATGGAGGGCTGGTTAGGGAAGGCTGTACCTCCCCAAACAGCCAGGCGTGGCCTGGCCCCCCTGGGACCCTGCTCCATCCACCCTTCCCTCGCCCCTACTGCCCCCCCTCCCCATCCAACCACCCCTTCTCTCATTCCTGACCGTCCCGGAATCCCTGCCCCTGACTGCCCCCCATCGCCCCATCCGCCCCCCATCGCCCCATCCACCCCCCCTCCTTCCTGACTGCCCCCCTGGCACCCCGACCCCCATTCAACCCCCCCATTCTCCAACCTCTAACCGCCCCAAGCCCGATCCACACCCCTGCCCCTGACCACCATCCCAAACTCCCCTGCCCTCTATCCAACCCGCCCTGCTCCCTGCCCCCTACCGCGCTGC